TTAAAAAAAAAAAAAACTGTGCTGGTATCGGATCAGAATTGGCCAATACTCAGAATTTTTGGGATCGGATCGGATCGGTTCTGAAAAAATGGTATTGTTGCATCCCTAAATCTGAGTTTAAAGTCATGTAGCAACAGTATTAATTTTAATCTATCCTAAATATAAAATAAATCCAGAATCAAAATGATGGTTTAAATGTAAACCTGTTTATTTTTAAACAAGGTTTAAAGATTGGTGCAACAGAATTGTTAGATAAACCTTGATTTAAACTAGATTTAAGCTTAATTATTATTGGTGCAACCCACCCATAATGTCATTTTCTCCAAAGTAATAGTTGCATTAGTCTAAAAGGTCTAGACTTAATGTGCATGTATAAATCATTTATTCATACCAGGTCAGTGTTTGTTTCTCACTGTAACACTAGTTTGAATTAAACAATTTAACTTAAACACACTTGTGAGATATTATTACCTAAAATACTACTTTATTTTTGTATTCAAAAACACTCTGCTATGTGTCCCATACATGTACTGATGTACACACAGAAGAGAAAGGTTTCTTTTAAAAACCTTTTCCTCAATGAATTCCCTAAATGTAACTCCATTAGGGAAATTGGATCACAGAAAAATTATTAAAAGCATGAGCTACAAAGGATTTGCTATACAACCGCTCTGGTTACAGAACTCAAAGTTCCACAGAACCATAATGCCCATCATTCATAATTTATCCTATAAACTTATATTTGCACTTGTATACGTATTTTGTTTATGAACACAGCAGAAAGTTCCACAGAACTATAACATAAATTCATACATTTTTATCATGTATTATAGAGATGTAATAATTGTAATTTAATAATTATGAATTTTGGGTTATTTAACTTTCTGATGCATGAATGATAAAAATCACAGATGAACATTAGTCTTAAAATAAATAAAAAGTCTTATAATTTGCAAAACATTGTTTAATAAAAACGTCAAGAAAATTTTATCATAACTTAATTTAATAGTATATTTAATAGTTTTTCATTTTATATTTCAATAATTAAAAGTCACTGTAGATCAATGAACACTATGCTCTTTAGGTTAAACTACAATAAATACATTAAATCAATAAAACAATAAATCATTAATATCTTAAGTGTTAAAAATATTTTTTTTTATTAAATAATAAACAATTAGGGGGAAAACACACAACAAAAATACAAATAAATAATTGTACAATAAAAACTGTTATAATAAAACCCTTACTAAAGTAGTAGTTTGGGAATCCATCTTCTGGAGGTATGTGGTGCCTCACCAACTGCTGCAATATAAAATTATATTTCGCAGAAATCCATAGATGCTCCTTCAGCACTGCAAATGTACAGTCTAGACATGACTATTCATGACAGCAGTCTAGATGCCCTTCCCAGAACCCATTTCCATCTCCCTAAGGCTACAGGTAAATAAAATGTCAAACACAGCACCGGCATTATGCAGCAGCTGCTATTATCTTAAGTGTTACAAAATGTGACGATTACTGAGCCAAAACGGAGGTCAAATACAATCCAATGCCAATCAGAAGAGAACATTCTCCAAGAGTAAACACAACGGTAAATACAAAAGGGCTGGCTGGCAGCCCCTTCAGATAGATTATTAAATTGACTTGTAAACAAGGCCAACCCTGTGTCAGTTTGTCTAAACAGGCTGATGAAGAGCAAGTAGAGGGATGCACCATCCAGACATGGTGCAGATGTCACCAGCATGATACCGAGTGTGGTTTTCTCCCCCATAATCCTCTCTTTGACACAGCGTCATACTGACAAGCCTGCCTCCTGCTCTCGGCCGCTGTCCTCCTACTGAGCTAAATTAATTTGTTCATTCACTCCCCACATTATCCCCCTGAGGAACCACTACATTAGAGCTGATGAAATGCTCACAAAAGCAAGATGTCTCTCCCAATAATACAGCAGCACTTCAGGAATACAAAAAACCTGGCAGCTCCGCAGCGTTCCGTAAAGTATTATTCTGACTGTCAGACGCTGCCACGACCATCCCTTTGTCTGTTTCTGCTCGTCCAGTGACGGCATGGAAGAGCTTTGTGTTGACAGGAGCCTGAGTGTGAGTGTGAGAGCATTTTGGCCTCTTGCTGTATGGATCCAGCTTCTTAAATACTGCCCACTGAGTCAGGCTGAATCAATTAGGAGGCCTAATCTGGGACAGATTAGGTTTGAGACAGAAAAACTGACTGGACTCTTAACATTTGAGTTTGCAAGACTCTGAGACAGGAAGCAACAAGATGTTAGAAAAACATGTTTTACTTAAGTAGTGGTAATCAATTTGATGACGCTCATACTTGAAGTGAATACACAAAGTAATACACAAAATGCTTAATGGTTTCTGATCATCTGCAAGTGTTAACATGTCATTCTTTGGTTAGTCTCAGCAACATACCTCTCTTCTAACATAGATTTTTACCATAGGTGTTTAAAAAATGCTTCAACAAAGAGTTAGAAGCCTTACTTAAAAGACCAAAACTAAATCATAACACTTGATTTATTTAGCCATGAAGAAAGTATTTAAAAATTTAATAAAAGAGGTATAATTACTACACAAGGACTGCAAATAATGTACACTACCATTTAAAGGCTTGTGGTCAGTAAAAAAAAAAATTATATATATATATATATATTGATGATCTGAATCTTTTAAGTGTGACAAATATGCAAAAAATTAAAAAAAAAACAGGAAGGGGGCAAAAACCTTTTCACGCCACTGTATGTATGCATATATATATACACACACACAGTTGTGCTCAAAATTATTAATACCCTTGGTAAATATGATCAAAGAAGGCTGTGAAAATAAATCTGCATTGTTTATCCATTTGATCTTTCATTCAAAAATAAATAAAAAAATCTAACCTTTAATTAAAGTTAAAAAAAAAAGTGAAAGTGGGGGAAAATCACATTATGAAATAAATATTTTTCTCTAATAGAGTAAGAGGACGTGTGTCTATATCATCCTAATGCACGGTGAGGAGGAGAGTTTGAGTGACCAAAGACTCCAAGGATCACAGCTGGAGAACTGCAGAAAATAGTTGAGTCTTGGGGTCAGAAAACCACACAAAAAAAAACAATGTTGTTTGGGAGGGTTTCAAGAAAAAAATAGAAAAGTAAACGCTCTCATCCAAAAGCAAACTCCAGCATATTTATTTGCTAGACACGACTGGAACTTTAAACGGGACTAGGTTCAATGGTCAGATGAAACTAAAAAAAAATTGCTTTTTAGCAGCAAACACTCAAGATGGGTTTGGTGCACACAGGGATAAAAAGTACCCCATGTGTACAATGAAATATACTGCTGGATCTTTAATCTTGTGGGCTTATTTTTCTGCCGGAGATCCTGGATATCTTGTTCAGATGGATGGCATAATGGATTCTATAAAATACCAATGGATAAAAAATTAAAAACTGACTGTCCATGCTAGAAATCTTATAATGGGCCATGGTTGGATCTTCCAACAGGACAATGATCCACAAACAAACATCAAAATCAAAACAAAAATGGGTCACTGAGAACAAAACCAAGCTTCTGCCCTGGCTTACCCAGTTCCCTGAGCTGAACCCTATAGAAAACGAGTGTGGTGAACTGAAGAGAAGCATCAACATGCAGCTGGAAATCTGAAGGGTCTGGAGAGATTCTGTATGAAGGAATGGTCTCTGATCTCCGGTCAGATGTTCTCTAAACTCTTCAGGCATTATAGGTGAAGACTCAGAGCTGTTCTCTTGGCAAAAGGTGGTTGCAAAAAGTATTGGATAAAAGGGTATGATTAATTGTGACCAATGTGTATTAGAGAAAAACTTTTTTTTATTTCATAATGAGATTTCTCTCCCATTTTAAATTTTTATTCTCCAATGAAAGGTTAAATTTTCACAGCCTTCTTTGATCATATTTACCATATGAATAATTTTGAGCACAACTGTAACTGTTTCAATATATATAGATAATAATATGTTTCTGTTAATATGTTTTGCACCAAATAATCATATTATAATGATTTCTGAAGGATCATGTGACACTGAAGCCTGGAGTAACGGCTCATCTTTGATGGTTCATCAATGGTTCAGCTAAATTACATTTTAAAATGTACTAAAATAGAAAACAGTTAGTTTAAATTGAAATAATATTTTGTATGGCTGCTTTTACTGTATTTTTGCTCAAATAAGTGCAGCCTAAGGAAGAAAAAGACACCTCAGTCAAAAACATCAGAAAATCCTAAACCCAAACATTTGAATGGCAGTGTATTAGAATCAGTAGGGATGTTTAATCATTTTAACATATTTTCTGAAAACACAGCCAACCTTTAAACTCTAACACTACACCATTCCATATTAAGCAATGCTAACATTAGCCAGCTGTTAGCCTGTAGCTAGTCTCCAAAACACACAAAAACTCTGCATACACCGATTTCATTTTTCACTCCAAACTTCTCTAACTGGTATATCTCTCATTGGGATCACGATACATCATTGAAAATTAAAAAATTTAACACATAAATCAAAACAAAGTGACATATGTCCTCATATACTGTTGTTTGGCAACCTCAAAGCTCGAGTCTATGAATTTGTGGCATCGAATGTATGAATGTTTTGTTTCAAGTTGCAAGTTAGTGAGATAACTGAAAAAACATCCATGAACGAAATAGGCTACGTTTGATCAGATTGAAAATCTGGACTAAAAAAAACCACACATTTTTCAATTATTTCTTTGCTATTATTGTGCAACATTTACTTAGGCTGCTGTTAAAAGTTATTTGAACCAGCTAGGGTCTATTACTGTGGTATCACCAATTTCAGACTTTCTCACCCCTAAACTAAAAAAAAAACAGTGCTTCACATGTACTGTAGGTCAGATAGCTGCTGTCTGGCAATGCAATGTCAACTAGAGTTTAGGCTGATAGTCGGAATATGTCAGAGTCAGTCAGACTACTGTTCAGTTAGTCTCTAGTGACTTTACCTCATGAGTGCTTGGGTTTTGGCTGCATGTCTCTCCTCTAGTTCAGCCAGTCTCTTCTTCAAGCTGTCCACCTCCTGCCTGAGCCCAGCAGAGTGCTCCATCTCTCCATCCAGGAGATTGCGCAGAGACCTGTGCCAAAGAGTATAACAACAGTAAGACACCCACACACACCTGACCCACTTTTCCTTAGCTATCTTTAATGACTACAAGTGCACATGATAATTACCCAGCTGCACATTATTGAATGTGCACATCATGGTACTTTTCACAAACAGGGTACAAAAAAGGCCTGACACTCACTGAAACTCAAGGGGGGTTTTTTTCAACAAAATGGTCAGTGAAATGTCAAAACTTTTCAACTTTTTGTCCCATAACTCTCAGGATCTTTTAAGAAATTTAAAATAACTATTACTGCATCCAACCTCGGCAGCGATGGCGCATTACGCGCGCCCTTGCTTGTGCAGCTCAACAATCCTGCCACGTTCAAAGACAGAAAGCGTTTTTGCCTTTGCCATCAGGAGATCATGACAATGTGACTGCCTGAAGGACAATGACATGAAAGCCATATTTTTGCACCGATTTTAACTTTTTAAGCATATGGTCTTAAACTTTTGATCAGCTGATAAACAGCCTGTTTGAGTTTTAATGCAGTTTTCAATAAATTGCCTAGTCTCTATTTTTTTGTCTCTTGCTCCTGTTTCTTCTTTTGGCATTTTGAAGCAGTACTTACAACCTGGTTACGATCCACCAGCGCAAAATGCAAATACTTGTAATGTTTCCCCCGGTCTTAAGATTTTGTTAAGGAGTGTATATTTAGACAATGCGAGTAATCTTCTATTTGTGGTTTGCAATTTTTTGTATGGCTGTAAACCAAAATTGGCTGAATATAGTTAAAAACCCAGATATACACAATAACGTTAAAATATCAGCTCACCAACCCTGCATTTATTTGATTAAAAAAAAATACAGAAAAAAACAGAAACATTATAAAATGTTATTACAGAAATCATTCTAATATGCTAACATTCAGCTCAAAAAACATTTCTTCTTATTATTAGTTCAAAAAAGTTGTACTGCTTAATATTTTTGTGGAAACTGTGACACCTTTTTCAGCATTCTCTCATGAACAGAAAATTCAAACGAACAGCATTTATTTGAAATAGTACAGATACTTTTAAATTTTACTAACAGATTACTCTTACTTTTAATCAATTCAACGTATTTTTGCTTAAACATTAAAAAAAATTGGTACTTACAACCTGGTTACGATCCACCAGCGCAAAATGCAAATACTTGTAATGTTTCCCCCGGTCTTAAGATTTTGTTAAGGAGTGTATATTTAGACAATGCGAGTAATCTTCTATTTGTGGTTTGCAATTTTTTGTATGGCTGTAAACCAAAATTGGCTGAATATAGTTAAAAACCCAGATATACACAATAACGTTAAAATATCAGCTCACCAACCCTGCATTTATTTGATTAAAAAAATACAGAAAAAAACAGAAACATTATAAAATGTTATTACAGAAATCATTCTAATATGCTAACATTCAGCTCAAAAAACATTTCTTCTTATTATTAGTTCAAAAAAGTTGTACTGCTTAATATTTTTGTGGAAACTGTGACACCTTTTTCAGCATTCTCTCATGAACAGAAAATTCAAACGAACAGCATTTATTTGAAATAGTACAGATACTTTTAAATTTTACTAACAGATTACTCTTACTTTTAATCAATTCAACGTATTTTTGCTTAAACATTAAAAAAAATTGTGTTGGCTTTGTTACATCAGCAATGCGTATTACATAAAAATATTGATATCAACTAATTAAAAGTAAACTTAAATTAATAAAATACATGAATAATTATTATTATAGCAGTTTTTATGTTTGGATACTAGCAGTGTATAGCAATCTGGACAGTTTTATCTATTTATTAATAGGTACACGCTATATTCTGCAATTTAATCAGCACACTAACATGATTGCAAGTTAGTTATCATGCCATGTAAGATGCCATACAGCTGTTTTATTGACGAGCAACATGCTCATATCATATGGAGTTTCAGTGTTTCATTTAGATTCTAAAAGGCTATTCTTATAACTCGTCCCTCCAAACAGATGCATAAAATTATCTTTGACATAAACGGCAAACAACTTGAACGTGTATCTATGCGCTGATCAGTTTTGTCCTGTCTGCACAGTGCCGCATTTTAGTCTCGCGCCTCTCGCGTATGGAAGGCCAAAAGAGCCATAAACACATGAATTTTAACGCTTATACAACACGTTTAACATGCGTATTTCACGCGTAAACAACGCATACTAAATGCGTGTCGTTTACACGTGAAAAATCAGTGCGTTAAATACGTGTATTCAACATGTTAAATATGCGTGAAATACGTGTTAAATACGTGTTAAAAATCTGTTTGAACGGATCAGTGTCATTGGCTGCTGAGGACTTGGGTCAAAACATTTCTGTGAGCTAAGGGGGGTGTATCATTCATAGACTAGGCAACCACCATTTAACATGCGATAGATCAGCTTATTCAGCCTAATTATTTTGTCTTTTTTTTCTTTTCTTTTTTATAGCCTATAGAAATAATATATAGATTATAATTAAATATATTTAAATTGCAGTTTTATGAAAAACTAATTTTTCACCACTCATGCCTTTTGGTAAATAAACACATTAGTGGACATTCTAGCTTTGTGATCAAACTTAAAGGGTTAGTTCACCAAAAATGAAAATTAGCCTGTGTTTTTACTCACCCTCAAAGCATCCTAGGTGTATATAACTTTCTTCCCCAACATGTGTACTTGTGGTGATACCATAAAGTAATCAAAAGTTACAGCATTTGGAACCAAGGTAGCCCTTATCTTAGCCCTTTACAGTTTTCAAATTGTTGTTTTGAATTTGAAGTAATGCCTCACTCAAGTTTAGTCAAAGCCCCAAAAAATTATACTTGTTTTATTCCACTCGCTGACATATGACACATGACTATCCGAGCTGTATGATATTTTTGACATATTAGAGTACATGGCACAAAAAAAACCATTTTGTAAATAATGATTTTTTTTTGTCATTTATCAGCAAATAACTCGTAACTACTTTGGAGTTACTTAGGAACTTTCAAATGATATCCATTTTTTGTTGATCAAGGCAGTGGTTTGAAAAATATGATTAATAATATTGTCGTCCCCCCCCGGTACACTTCAGTTTAGAGGGACTGCTTAGTGCTCGTTAAGAGTTGATCGAAATAATTACATTCATTAAAAAGCTGAGATTCTAAGCTTTAAAATTTAGCTTTAAGCTTTACATACTTTGTGTTATTCCATTCAGGGGATGCTTCGTAATGTGATTTAGAATTTTTTCGTGTGGGGTGGGACACCTCGGGTTTAAAGGGTTAATGTAATCCAGAACAAGGGGTAATCCACACTAGGAATGGCTGAAGACACACATGCATAACATTAAGACCCGACAAACACGGACTGCACAGACTGGGGTTTAAATACATGGGGTAACAAGGATAATTGCAAAGACACACCTGAACCAAATCATACAATCAACGAGAAACAGAAACTGGGTCACGGCGAGCACATGGGGATGAAAACATACACACAGACAGTTCAGTGGCTTGACAGTACTTACCTCAGACTTGTCAGCAGCTTAATGTTAGTGAATTGGTGGGTTTTTGTTAAATGTGAGCCAAATCATCACAATTAAAAGAACCAAAGACTTAAACTACTTCAGTCTGTGTGCATTGAATTTATTTAATACACGAGTTTCACAATTTGAGTTGAATTACTGAAATAAATGAACTTTTCCATGACATTCTAATTTATTGAGATGCACCTGTATAAGTAATCTTAATTTTTAACATTTCACATCTAGCCTAGAATATAGAACAGTGATCAAGGGGATCCGGGGTATGACTGATGTGTACCACCAGTTTTTCTCCTTTCTTGGGAGTGATGGAGTCATTGACTGTACCAATGAGCTACACATCTGCACACTGCATTATGTGTACCTTCCACGGATTAACCGGGATTTTGAGGTTTTCAAGGAACTGTGGAACAATCACGGATTGCGCACTGCTGGTCACCACACACCAAATCAGATGTTTGTCAAAGGATGTCTTTAGAGGCAAACATCATCACTCACTGCCATGAGATTTTTGGACCCAGCCCTGCTCAAGATGGTGCAATTCCTGCTGTGGATTGGTAGGAAGTTGTAACAGTTCCTGCAAACCAATTCAGTCCAACCGAGGCACAGATGCAACAACTGCAGGATGTGGACGTTCTTGCAGGACCTGTCAGAAGTCCGGCTATTGATGCACTGTAAACCGTAATTAATATTCTGCAACAGTAGCTTCTTGTCGATTGGTTCTATTGCAATGTTAAAATAAAACTATATATATTTTTGTTAATGGATTGTTGACTGATTTTATTTGGTGCTCATTTTTAGGTGAAATTTTTTGAGAAGAAATAATAAAATAAACCTTATAACATAGACATTATTTATTTTTATAGACGGTATTTATATTTGAAACCTGGTAAGAGCTTTATCACATTTGTGGAAAATAAATTAGATAATAGATATAATTTATTGATCCCAGGGTGTAAATTGGGTCATGTTACCATTGCTCACATATAAAAAAGAAATAAAAGCATATGTGAATCTCTTTAGTAACCACTGATTTCAATTTGGAACCCATTTAAAACACTGAACTTGTCAGATCATAACAGGACTTAAAACTCAAAATTCTACAATTTTTTCACCCTCATGTTGTTCTGAACTTCTATGAGTTTATTTCTTGTGTGGAACATAAAAGACAATATTTTGAAGAATGTTAGTAACCAAACAGTTGTTGATCCCCATTGACTTCCATAGTATAGAAAAAAAATACTAAATTAGTTTGGTTACCAACATTCTTCAATAACAAAAGCAGTATACAAAAAAAAGTCAGACTACTTGGTTTATAGGAGAATGTGGAGTAAATACTTGACATTTATTTAAGGTAAAGGGTAATGACCTTGTGGTGAGATGCAAAAGAGGACTGTCATTAATGTACTATTTGATGACTTTTTCACATTCTAATATTACTTATGTATTTAGTTATTTTTAATTCTTTTTGCAAGTTAACTTTCAATTTATTTATTTGTGCAAGTTAACATTCAATTGTTTTTTTGTGTGGATTCTAGCAATCAACATATTAGTGACTGACATGTTG